TATATATATCATTTAAATCTATACATGCAGATATATACAATGTAATATCAGATATATCAATGTAATATTATAATATTCTTAAAATATTTTAGATTTTCAATTTAAAATTTTAATATAATATTTAATTATATTACCATTTATACTACCATTAAATAAAATAAATAATCAAAAAATAATCTTGTATTAAGATATTTGATTACTAAATTGAATCATTATTATTAAATTGAAAAATAATTTACTTACATGAAAAATACATTAACTTACATGAATTCTTTGTACATAACGTATGATGATCGATGAAACAAGTAGTTTTAAAATTGTGAAATTTCCTTTGTTTATCACATGGGGGCTGTATCAACATGAAAAACATACGGCATCTTACATAGCATCTTATAACATGTATTTTTTAATTGAATTGCAATTCAATTATATAAATGTTAAAAGATGCACGTAGAATGCAACCAAGCAAGTAGATAGATATTACATGCTTAATGTTTAGTGCTACAAAGAAGATAAATTCGACGAGACCGACGCAGCGCAGCTACAGAGCAATCAATGAATGCATATTGATCTCAACCCTTCACGGATTCTATACCTGCAGGGGCGGATCACTTGAGCACCAAATATCATGATTTGATTAAGAATATTATATTAAAATGCATACATTATAAATAAATAATTTCTTCTATTTTAAAATTATTATTAAGTAATAGCACTTAATCTTTTATATTATGTTTTAAAAATTTGTTTAAATTTGTTTATTGTTAATTTCTTTAATTAATTTATAGCGAAAATTATATTATTAAAAATATTTAACAATTCTTAATAATACTAAATCTTAAAAAAAATGTTTATATATAATATTTATTTAATAACAGATATAACAGTATTAAAAGTAAATCTATAAATATAATAAAGTATAAAAAACTTTAAAATTTTTAATTTATATTTTTTTATAATATAAAATTTATAGTATATCATTTATATATAAATGTATATTTATATAAAAAGAAATATTTTAATTTTATTATTTTAAAAAATATGTAATTAAAATATTAAATAGTAATAATTAATAATTAAATAATAAATGATAAAAAGTATGAAATATACTTCAAATTATTTTTTTTTATCGATATTTGAATTTCGATATCAATTTCGATACCTCGCATATGCAATTGTTTAATATGATCAAATACTAGAGTAAAGAGTATTGCTTCATTTTTATGTCAAATTGTCAGTTGCTCGTAAAATTACGACGGATTTTCTTAGGTGATGTTACATAAAATAAAGTAAGCATAAGAAATTTCATAGTCTAACACGAGCGCCGGAAGCTTAAAATGATTGCGGTAACGGGTGCAAACTACTAAATTCTTTCATCATTAACAAAAAAAAACAAAAGTCTTGAAATATTTTTTCATAAAATTACTATTTGGATTGACCATAATAAAATATTTAAGTATTAACTATAAAAGTGTTTGATCATTATATAAACGAAAAATTTATCGTTCTAATCGGCTATATAAAGGAAATGAATTTAGGCGCGTTAAATTAAAGTTGTCTAAAAGGCCGTAAGATGTCAAGTCGATCGGTACCGCGAGCGAACAAAAGAACAGGATTGGTCGCTTCGAAAGTAGTGCCAGACATGTGTTTCGTTTCCCGCCTCGTGGGTTGTTATTGTGTGGGGGCTCCGCCAGTCCGGTGAGTCGAGTGTAGAGAGCATAGGGCCTAGGCCAGAATCGAACCGCCGTTGGGTTGGCTCCTCGGTACGGTGGTGGCTCTGTCCGACTAGTGACCGACCGTGGTCCGTCCGTCATATTCCGGGTTTGAAAGCAAGGTTGCGACTAGTTGTTGCGACGCAGGAAGGTGTAGTGATCTGTGTACAGAGCTACGAACGGGTCTGCCGGCCATGGAGAAGCGGATAGAACTCGAAAAACGGGGAAGAAACCCCGGTGAAGTAAGCCGAACCCCATTTATTTTATTATATTGCTTTGCTCGACACGAGACGATACCGCGGGTTGTTGCGTGCTTGGTGTTCTACCGTGTGCAAGTTTGAGAGCGAGTGTAGAGAGAATCGTGTTCCCTCGCGCGACACCGACACCACGCACTCGCTCTGCGGCACGCCACTGGCCACTCGAAGACGCACGAGAACTCGGATTTCTTGACGGCGACCGCGTGGCTCCGACGATTTATCGGACAAGAAGACGTGTTCTCGATGCCGACACGAGATGCTACGATTTCCACAAGAGTAACAGGCATGGCGTGGTTCGCTTAAATGGCCTGTCTCCTTGATTTTTCATTACTTCGTCTCGACATGACGCATTTTTTTCTATTGTTTCCCATTTTATTTTTTTTTTATTATTTAGAATTTGTACTCTGTTATCGTGTGTGTTTTCTTACCAGATCGGTGGAAAACTCGAAGAAACCGATCCAGTTAAGAACATTGCCAGACCAGTTGTATCCTATTAGCTGGAAAACTAAGAAACTCGAGATCCGATTGGTTGACTGAATTCAACGAATAGTTGATCAACCAATCGTTTATCAAGTTTTCCTAAGTTTTTCTAGCATATGAAGCTTTCTACTGAATTACAAAGTGTCCCTTATCGCGCCGCAGATGTTATTACGTTTATAGAGAAAACACCATACAATCCGCAGTTAAATATATTTGAACTTGAATTATTTCATTTACTATAAAATATATAGTATTATATATACTACATCTTGCTGATTTGTGATGTAATACATCGTAGAATCAGCGTCGTTGGCATAGAAAGTAAAACATGTTTAATCAATGGAGATATTACTCTTTGTAATGGCTGATTTTTTTCTGTACAAGTTTCAATCATTTTAATGAATTAGTGAAATAATATTTATATAAATATTAAATATTTAAATGTATTGTAAATTCATTTTTATTTTTATAATATAATATAATTTACAATATTAATAATTATATTTTTTTCTAAATTTCTAAATTATTTCATAATAAACTTTTATGCAAATTTATATATTATTTACATTGCTTAAATTTTTTTTTTAAATTGAAATAATTAAAGGAAAACAGTCAAGTAAAAAGATTTTTCTAATAAATTTTTAATTAATAAATTAGTAATTTTTTATTATTAATTTTATAGAAAAATTTTAATGTAATATTATATAAAAATCATTTTTCAAAACAAAAAATTCTTTTTTAAAAAAGAATTAAACAAAATATTTTTTAATATATTTAACATTTTTAATATATAATAATTTTAATATATAATAATTTTATAAAAGATTCATTATAAAGATATTTTTAGAAATGTATAAAAATAATACTTCAGAAAGTTCTAGTATTAATATCTATATTCACTATATTAATTAAAAATTATAAAAATTAAATTTCTTTGAGAATCAAATAATTTCAAACATAATCATTTCTCATTTAAATGCCGTGTTATACGCAAGTCGTGTGATCAAATTATAGCGTGGCGTGGCTGTCTCTAGGAGTCCCTCTTTTTAAACTACCGTGCATCGTATGTGTGTTCCTATTACAGGAGCAACCACATCTTAACAGATTGTCTACAAGGTGTTTTCGTTTATAAGACTTCATTTTAAATACATTTAGCTATTAAAATATTTTTCTCATTATTTTTTCGTTGATTTTATGTACAACGCAATAACGAAGTACAAAAAGGCTTTGACAAGATGGTGCCCCTTTCGAACAAGTTTTGAAACATATGCAATCTCATATGCATCTGCTGACAAGTTACAGTTGCTTACATATAAAGTATTATGTCAGAAGTTAACAGTCCTTTGACCGCGATTTTCGGTATTCTAAGAACGTTAAATCCATCAAGGTCAAATGAAAACTTGAACTTGAAAGAATTTATGAGACAATAAGATCTGAAGATCATAATTTTATCTCGTATTTCATTTCTTTGTTATATATACATATAAATTGATTTGTTATTTTTATGAAAATATTACATTTAAGTGACATATGATACAATGTTATTAAATATAATTGTAAAATTTAATTCTCTTTCTATTTATAAATTATTGTATAAAAATTAAAATATATGCTTATTACATACAATTTAATATGAAAAAACAACAAATTATTATTCTTATTTTATGCTAGAAATCATTTAATGATAAACATTCTTTTACGTCTTAATATAGATCTTATACGTAAAAATATAATTGTGCTCGTGTGTAATAATTAATGTTGATATTTTTTTTTCAATTTATATTTTATATGGTTTACATATTTTTTCCACAAATAACAAAAGTATATTATGTAAATCGACTATCAGCGGGAAGAGTTGTGTGTACCATGAGGTGCTGCCATGAGATGCGCGTGCGAGTGAACGTCGCCATTGTTTTCCGGTGTGCGCGGGTGTATTCTTATTGACAATTAAATTTCGCTACATCTTTTAAGATAGATTATGTTCTAAAGTTATTTTTGCTCATTACAATGTATATAAATGACGCTGAATTGATCATAAAATTTCTCATATATCTAATCTATGATTGTGTCTTATGGCGTGTTACTGATCACTGTGCAGCCATCTTGGACGAGTCCACTCTGTCACCAACTGACACGCGTACGTTTCGAAACAATAAGAAAATCAAAATAATCATTTCTCACATTTTTACCTTATATAATGAATTTTATTGTTTTAATTGAGTCACATTCAACACATCATTTAGATTCTTTTGATACATTAATATAAAACATATATGCGTGGGCGTTTGCATCACGTAAACCACCGGCGTTGCGATGCAGTTCATTCAGCAGTGCCGTAGCTACTACTTCATAAACTATTGTATATAAAGTTGTACAATGTTATACAGTAGCATGTTTTGTTAATATGAAGAGTTATATTTTATTATTATTATTATTTTTTGATAATTGAAAATATTTTTTACATTATTTTTAAATATTACTTAAATATATTTTTAAATATTGAAATTATCGTTAAATATTTTTTATTAATAATTATTTTAAATAAATACTTTATAAAAATGTAATAAATTATTATTAATATATAAAAATATACAATTTTATTTAAATTATTTATTAATATAAAATGTTCATCATATATAATAATTTTTTAAATTTTTATTTTAGAAAAATATTTATTTCTAAATTTTCTTTATCTCATTTCAATTCATATATCTATTATGAATATTATTATATCAATATTATCTATACGAATCTATTTATATGTATTTTATAAAATGCATATATATAAAAGTAGATTTTTTGTTTTTTTCGTTATTTAATGTTAAATTTAAGTAAAATATTTCCTTCTATCCATCTCTTATTATCAGTTAACTTGTAGTTGTCATTGATCCGCTCCTATAAGCCACGGCAACTTCTCATAAACGCTTCCACTACGATCAGTGCAACGCACGACGCAACCAATCAGCCGGCCGGTCGGAATGTCGGGCAGTGAATCTAAGATAAGGACATGTGACGACTTCGAGACTTCGTGTGAAAGCGGTTTGTCGCCACTAAAATTTGCTACGCATCAATTTATTCGGCTTCAATCAAAATTTTATGAAATAGCAATTAACAAATTAATTTTTTAATTTTATGTAAAATTTTTTCAGATCATTAAAAAAGTAATAATATAGCATAATTATATTTTTAATATTTGATTTCAAATAATATTTGATTCAAAAATGAATTGTATAGAAATTCATTTTAACTTGTGATAAGTTAAGATAAAATGAATTTCGATAACATTAGAACTTGAGACTGCTCGGATTCGCTTCTGTCGCGTGCCACAGTCAGTACTTATCGCTTGCCGGCTTTTCTGATGCCGCTAAACAAGACGCGTCGTGCACTCTACTACCATCACCCCTGTATCCCGAACACCCCTTCACACTTCTCTCCCCTGTTTCTCCTGTCTCCTTTCTATCTCCCCTCTCTCTCACCTTTCTCTTTCTCCGATCAATAAAATAGCCCATCTCCCGCGAAAGCTTATCGTTCGTTTGAATTTTAGCGATTATTATCATCTTTTTCACCTACATCACTAAGTTTTCATTCACATCTTTATTGTAGTGTTAGCTTATATAATTAAAAATGCAATAGTATTATTCACAAATACTTCTTTTAATCAAAACGTTTCATGATTTTCGAAAATCTTTATTCAAATCATTAAATGATTAATGCAGAAACAATATTTAGAAATTGATTTTTAATTAAAAGAGACTTTAATTTTGGTTTTTAACTTCTATTTTTATGTATTTTTATTTCTAATATTGTATATAAAATTATATTTATTGTAAAATATTATTACTTATGTTTGGTTTTAATAAATGAAGTTAGTTTTTATCTATTTTGTATAGTTGAAATGTGATTTACTATTTTTATAAAATTATTTTAGAATTAAAAATTAGAATATTAGAAATATTAAAAAATTTAATTGTTGCTTATATAAAAATTATTATTTTTTCAGATCAAAGAACTTGTTCTTGACAATTGCAGAAGCACACATATAGTTGGTTTGACAGATGAATTTGTTGCATTAGAATCACTAAGTCTCATTAATGTGGGACTTACCAGTCTAAAAGGCTTTCCAAGACTATCGAGTCTTAAAAAGGTAAACAAATATATCAATATATAATTTTAAAATTAATAAAATATGAAATACATTTTGTGTAATTATTTTTTAATTATTATATATATTTAAGTATTACATATATAATATATAATATTTTAATTTATATTTTAATATTTTAATAATGCAATATGAAATTTTATAAAAGACTTATTAAAATAATGATAAACTATTCGTATTTTTCTATTTTGTATAGTTGGAACTTAGTGACAACAGAATTTCTGGAGGTTTAAATCTTCTTCAATCAAGTCCCAAATTAACTCATCTTAATCTTAGTGGAAACAAGATCAAAGATCTTGATACACTTCAACCTTTAGTAAGTTCCATTATTTTTATGTATTATATGTATATATGTTTTTTTTAAATATTAAATGTAAGTTAATAATTTTTATTAATGATTTGTATTAATAATTTTTTTGTAGAAGGAGTTTAAGAATTTGAAAAATCTTGATCTTTTTAATAATGAAGTAACAAACTTGGATAATTATAGAGAAAAAGTTTTTAGCCTTATTCCCAGTCTTCGATGTCTTGATGGGTATGTAAAAGAATGTATATGTTTCGTTTATTTCATTAATATTTTTATTTATTAGTATAATATTAATATTTTTCTATATTTAGTATATACTAAAATATAAGTTTTTAAATATTTTGTTATATACACAATAGATTTGACACAGATGATTGTGAAGTAGATGATAGTGAAGGAGAAGATGATGAAGTAAATGGAAATGAAGATGGAGATGGTGATGCCAATGAAGAAGATAGTGAGGAAGGTTAGTTAGAAATTCACAATTAAAAATATTTATTAAAATAAATACATTTTTAAAGAATACATTTTTAACTATGAATATAAAATTTTTAGTTTCAGATGAAGAGGATGAAGAAGATTTTGATGATGGTGGTGTAGGATTAGAGGCTGTATACAAGGATGGTCTTGAAGTAAGTCATCATGTTTTAAATTTTATTTAAATTTATAATGATATTAAAAATAGTAATATTACTGCAATATTAAAAATAGTAGTATTGTTCACATTTCATAAATTATTTAATTATTAAATTATTAATTATTAAATTATATTATAAATTTCATGAATTTGTACTTATTTAATTCATATAATACAGGATGAAAGCGATGAAGATGATTTTCTTTGTGATGAAGAAGAAGAAGAGGATGATGATGATAATGAAGATGATGAACAAGATGAAGAAGAAGGTAAATTTATAAATATGTTTTAATTAAAATATATTTATTGTGATTTAAAAAATATTTTATATAACTATGCTTTTTTATCTTAAAATACATTCTAATATTATAAAATTATTATATTATAAAATTATTTATTTATAAAAAAGATCAAATTAATTAATTAATTAAAAAAATTATAATGCTATTTTATTATATGTTTCTATTGCGTTTTATAGAATCGTCTCCTGCTAGAGGTAAAAAGAGAAAACATGAAGATGGCGGAGATTCAGGGAATTAGAACCATAAAGAGCAGGCTTCTGATACTGTTAAATGAGTGTAAAATTCATATAAATAATAATAATTGAGATGCAGAGTGACCATCTGGGAATCAAACTAATTGACCGACCAATGACAGACTACAGTTAGTGGTGTGAATATATCATTGAATCATTGACTGACAAATTGTCTGTGGAATAACAAAAGAATACCATTGAAGAGGAATGTGAATGAAAATGAAAAAGAGGATAATGATGGCATAAAATAGGACTGCATTCCAGCTGGACACAGCGCGTTTTAGTTATACTAACGATATTTTATATAGAGTATATAGTTAGAATATTAGTGGTGTTGCATGGGTGAAAGATCAGATATTGAAAGACTCGGAAAAAAGCAACAGTGAAGTTTTACACTTGAAGGAGCATATTTGTCTGTTAGCTCCAGTCGGCCAAAGGCTGGTCACGCTGGAATGCAGTCATCGTTAATCAGTACTAAGGTTACATAAGTTACATTTTAAATACATTATTATTGTACCATGAATAAGTATAGAGTAAATGAGGAACAACTTTTGTACAGGTTTACACCATACATTGAGGTGCATTATGCCTCTGTGATTTTTGGGACAGAAAATAAAGAGATAAATATATGTTGCTCATACATTGAGCTTATATCTATGAAAGACGTATTAAGATAGGAATTTACATCATAAGAATGAAAAAATAAAAGAAGTTTCGTTTGTTAGAATAATAGCATTTGAAATGTATAATTAATATGAAAAAAAAAACATCAGTTTAGCATATAAAAAGTATTTTAGTATTTTCAATTTAATTATTTTGATATAAGTTAAAAAGTTTTGATATTTCAAGAAATCTTGAACGAAACTGCGAAACAATATAAGAATACACAATTGATATTGTGTACTCCTTTTTGTAATTTTTAGTAAATTTTAAGTTCCAGATATTTATGTGTATAATGGCAATGTACCATGAATAACATGGCTGTTAAGATTACTGTTATTTACTTTTGGGCATTTCATATTTTATGTGTTATGCTCTATGATATAACAAATTCATTTGATTAGTAAAATTATTGTAACATTTTCCTGTTCCAAATTACAAGTATTCAGCTATAACAGTTAGATGTTTTTATATCATTAAATCGTACGATTTTATACGATAACAATAGAATTACTTGTTGCATTTGTATCGTTTATACATAACAACAAGTTTAAATATTTGGAACATAATATTAAATAAAAAGAAAAAAATCAAAATTGCTATAAATCATAATTACCTTTAATTTCTGTCTCTGAAGTTACCATAGCGCTGACACATCTCGTGATGATTGAAGTGCGAAGTTAATGGATAATGATCATTAATATTATTATTAATATTAAATTACAATTATGATTTGAAAAAACAATATTTACACTTGCGCTTTCGCACTTTTGAATTATATTTAAAAAAAAGTCAGAAACGCAAAATTTAGATTAGAATGGAAAGACAAAATCTCGAGAAATAGGCGCAAAAGTAAAAGATGGATCAGTCAATGTAGTTAATGGTGAGACTGTGGTAAATGGTTACTGAACGGACTACCAATTAACTACGTGATCGTGAGAATGGATGGGAGTGAAATAGCGAGTGAGAGTGCAAGAGAGGATCGGTTTTATAAGAAAAAAATTATGGTAGAGTCGAGGATCTGGCGCCTCTTTGTCGCCAGTTTGGTTATGGCCTTATCCAATTTTTCCAAGACTAAAGCAAATTTATATTAGGTACAATGAGTATATGACATGTACAGGTCCAAATCTGTAAATTTCCAATCTGCAATTTGTAATTGCGGCTCGCGCGGATGTCATATTAAAAGTTAAATTATAAATAATTAAAGAATTAAATTATAAATAATTAAACATTCCGCGCGTCCCGCGACACATACACTTTTGTCAATTGCAATTTTGGATAGACCATTTATGTAAGGGAATCTATCACCTTCTATTATCAGAACTATTACATCTCTGTATTGTCTGTCTGTTCCGTTGTTAAAGTGGATTTTTATCATAACGTTTGTTTATTTCGAACAATCCTCATCAAAATAAGAAGAAATAATTTATTAATAAAATCATTTACAAATCAAGGATTATGTGTGATTGATATTATTAATCCTTTTTTTCATTTTTTAATATTCATATATAATTATTACGAAGTTATTATATTCACGATTTTAATTATAATTTTTAACATTTTACAAACTAATAAAAAATTCTATCAATTATATTTTGTTTTATGCAAACTAATGTTTTATGATCTAAATTATTTAAACTTCATAACTATTTATAATTACTAATTGAATTATCATAATCTAAGTAATTTGATTATGTGAATATTAAAAATATTCATATAGTAATTAATTTCAACAAAAATATTATTAGACAGATTATGATATTATTAACATAATTTCAATAAATAAATATATATTCTTATAGAAAGTATAGAATAATTTGCAAAAAAAAAATGTTATTTATACATATACATGTATATATTATATATGTATACTATTAATTAATGATATATTTGATATACTTAACAAGTTAATTTAAAAAATGACACAAATATATGATGCAATTATTCATACAGTCATATTTCATTAAATATGCAGTATTATTAAGTATTATAATTTGAAAATATAAAAAAAATATAAACTTATTTAACAATAAAACAAATATAAAATATATAAATATGTAATAAAGTTGTTTGTAGTTTATTTAGATCAAAATAAAGTTTGAGGTATTTTAACGTTACAATACTTACATTATTATAATACTTTGAAATCTTGTTGTTTTACACAATCATGTTTTTAAATTGCAATATTGATAATTTCTTGTTTAATCTTCTTATTTATATAATATTTTTTATAAATTATTTTACTATGATATATTTGATTTAATATAAAATTAACATATAATAGAGTTAATAGATAACAGTTAATAGATAGTTTATTTATTAGTATTCAAATTATTTTTAAATTATTTTTAATTAATGAAGAAATAATAAAACCACTATGCTTACTAACTTTTTTTCTCTTCGCATTATTATTTGTTAAGTTTTTTGATAATTCATAATTATATACTCATTTTACATCTTTCTATAACATGTGATATTTTAAATAAATTTTTGTCTTTCTTTATGTTCAAATTATAATATACATATCATATATTAATAATGAAATATGATTATATAAATACTAATTATATTTATAATATTTACTAATTGTATATTTTTATTATTTCATACATTATATATATGATTATATATATTACATTTAATAATAATAATAAATATATATTAATATTTTAATAATAAATATAGATATTGCAATTTTTTTGTAAATGATTTTGTAAATTTCTAAGAATACACAGAATATTTATTTATTAAAATTATATATAACACGAATTTTTTATACTCAATATTATATAACAAATATATATAAATTAAATTATATTAATTATTTTTAAAAATTTTATTTTTATATTTTATTTAAAAGAAAGATTTAAAAATTAAAGAAATTGTTTTGAAATTTGTTTGTCTTTAAATATTAATTATAACTGAAAATTATTTTAAATTATGAATTTTAAAAAAATTTTTCAAAATTAGTTTAAGCGAATTTTAATATAATCTATTTTTTTATTATTTACTGTTATTGTCATCTTTACTCTACTATACCGATAGATAAAATATTAACGAGCGTGTACAGTGCTGCCAGTAGGCGCTGCCTTGTAAAAGTGATAATCCAACCTCGGCGCGCAGTTTCGTGTCGAGTCTTCAGTGTTTCTCCGCGCTTCCGTTCGTGCGTTTTGGTTGTGATTCGTTGTGAAAGAGAGTCGGTTAAGCTTAGAAGTTGAAATTGTGTTTTGCGGAGAGAAGTTATAAAGTCATCGCTTTTCAAATAATTTGAAGAAAATGGCTGAAAGTAAGGGTGCATTGATTGCGAAGACAGTGCAAAAACATGCAGGCAGAGCAAAAGAGAAGGTAAGTACCACGAAAAGACATATACATATTTGTAACAGGTTTCTTCAAAAAGCATGTCAGTCGTTCATACGTTCGGAACGAATTTGTTCTTTTACACAACATCTGAATTTTACTCTTATTCCTATATATTTTATATTTCTATATGAATAATATTCCAATAATAATCTTATCATTTAAATATCTTAATGTATAGCCTCATAACCCTTCAAGGAATTTGCTTTTTTTATATAAGATTGTGAATGGTAAAATTTGACATATCATAATAGTTATTGACAACTGTTCTAAGAGATCAGATTCGATTTCGCGAATAAGTCGGTAATTCGTTAGATTTTTTTTTACTTGTATAAAGATGACTTATATAAGCGGTAAACATGTAGCACTTGTGTAGCAGAGTTTCATTTAAAATGACAATTATGCAACTCTTGGGCCTGGTTCAGTGTAGTAATGCATATATTAGAGGTGTATCTTCAATGCTAGTCACTAGCATATCCCTAAACGAAATTATTGTGAACCCTAGATTATCACGTGGCATGAATTTTTCACTATCTGTCAAATACTTGATTTCTATTTATTAATTTCTTTAAATAAAATAAATTGTAATTGTAATTGTAAATAAATTTTCTCAAAAAGATATTTTAGATTTTTTTTTAGTAATTTTCATTTAAACTTAAATTATTTTTTATATACTAATGCACAATACAATTTATTAGAATATTAATGGTAAACTAATGCAAATCATAAAATAGATAAAATTGATTGACATATAATTTAATATGATTATGATACGACATGTACTTCATTATATACATTATATATATATATGTATTAAATTTTTTTATATATATTCACTGCAATTTGATTTTTTTTCAATGTTTTATATTATGTAATAGGCGCTTAACAAGATTGCATGTATACTTTATTTTTGAAGAAAAAAAAAAATGACACATCATTTTGTTCTGTTTGTATTATCTACATAATAGTTAACTACATAATATATTCTAATATATGATATTTGTATTAAATTTAATGAACACTGAAATATGTTACTCAAACTATACTTTTCGATTTTCGGATTTGTATTAATTATAATCAAGATTAATTATAAATATATTCAAACAATATATTCAAATTTTAAGTATGCAAAATTATTTTTAATATAACAATAATTATTTTTATCAAATTTTACCATTCAAATTTTATATTTAAATTTTACAATATACAATATATATTTAAATATATATTTTATATTTGAAATTTAAAAAAAGTTTATCGATATTCGTACAAGTTTTACTAATGCATTACGATTAATTATTTTGAATAAATAGTTCACTTTTGAATCAATAATTTATAATTATAACAATAATTTAATAACAATAAATAAATTATAGTATCATTAATTTTTATATAATTAAAATATATTTAAATATGTAATTAATATGTAAAAAATACTAAAATTATTTAAAATGGATATATGTTTTAACGATAAACATATGTTAAACAATACAAGATATTAAAAAAATAGGATTTTTCCAAAATACTAATAATTTTATTACTCATTATATTTTTATTTATTATATATTTATCATTATAATTATTTTATTATTATTTATTATAATTTGCATTACAATAATATACAATAATATTTCTTTCAATGATAAATTAATATCGTTTATCTAAAAATATTAATTCATAGACTGGAAGTGATCATTTTACATTACAAAAAATAATAATTAGATTGCGGATTTTTATTCATTTATTGAAAATTTAAGTGGACAAAAATATATATATATATATATATATATATATATATATATAATTAAAAAAATAGGATTTTTCCAAAATACTAATAATTTTATTACTCATTATATTTTTATTTATTATATATTTATCATTATAATTATTTTATTATTATTTATTATAATTTGCATTACAATAATATACAATAATATTTCTTTCAATGATAAATTAATATCGTTTATCTAAAAATATTAATTCATAGACTGGAAGTGATCATTTTACATTACAAAAAATAATAATTAGATTGCGGATTTTTATTCATTTATTGAAAATTTAAGTGGACAAAAAATATATATATATATATATATATATATATATATATAATGTACACGTGATATACAAAACATTTAAAGTAAAGTATATATTGTCATATTTCAATGGTTCAAAACATATCTTTATTTAAGTTCCATTTTCATAATCAAGAAGATCTCGATTTACGATAAACATCCGTAGTTCAGTAATAATTAGATTTTTTTTTCATCTTTACGGTATTATTTAAACGTAATATTTTTATTCAAAATATGATTTTATTTAACTATTTAATTATCATGCGAAAAAAATATATTCATTTATGTAAGATATATAAAACATATAAAATATGAACAATACATATTCTTTGCATAAAAAAAATCCGCAATCTATTCATTATATTGGGTTAAAATATATAACAAAATTTATAATAAAATAATAACGACGTTTCTCGTTTCGTTTCAAAATCGTAAAAAAATAAGTCATCACGTGGAGTAGAAAAATGAAGGATAATCAAAGATATCTTTCTCACAAAATACAAGAGAGCACATTTCTCTTCTATTTTGATTTTCAATGAAGGAAAACACGATAGCCTGTGCAATATACCGTAAGATCGTTTAATTCGTAGGTGTTTCCAAGTTGCTTTCGTGATGGTGGTTATACAGACTTATCTGGTAGAACCGGTCTAAGGTATTGCTATGCTAGAGTTACCACTCTCGTCCAAACGAACGAATAGTTTCAAATTGAAGAAAATAAATAAAATCAAACATCCAATTGAAAATTTAAAAATGGTATGGCACTCGATCAATTTTCTGACTGCCTTCGAATATCTTTTACAATTAAAAAGAATGGTGGAATACCTTTGATTCAATTAAAACATGATTAATTTTCAAACATATGGAATGAAGTTTTGTAATTGTTAATTGTTAATTGAAGATTTAATTAACAATAGAAAAGAGAATTATTTTTAAAATATATTTAATCTTTAAATATTTATCCGAAAATTATATATATCCAATTTTTCTATATTGAAATCAAAATTATTGATGTTGAATAAATAACATAATAATATAAATTATTTAACGTTCTATTGCAACGTTGAATAAATATAATATTATTCCTTATAAAATCACATTAAGCAACTTTTGATCAAGTAAGTTGATCAAACTCGAATCGTTTAAAATTTACAATGTAAATTAAATTTCAATTGGATAAAATAAACGATTGGAATTGTGTAACTTGGCTAATGGTAAATCCAGTTTAAAGGGCGGCGAAGAAAAGAAAATTGGCCAGAAATTTCATTGCTAATCCTTATTAAAAAAAAAAAAAAAAAGAAAATTTTTTTAATCGATGAATAAAAAAAGGTTATGTAGGTACAATCAATTTTTGCAAAAGGAAAGTTAATTGTTAATTCGAGGCTGAATTTGACATACTTTCGAAATGAGAGTTGCAATGCAACATTGACATTGACATGACCTAAAAAATTAATTATGATTAAAAATTTATAATAATTTGTAACATTTTAACTCTTCTTTAAAATCTTACAAGAATTTCGTAAAGATCGTCGAGGATCGATTGGAATTCTCTAAAAAAAAAAAAAAAAATTTGATGAAATGAATTCGTTCGAAAATATGTTATCTTCCGCTTTTAGATAACGAGCTGTCGAATCGTTCTAAAGTAGCTCTTCAAGGTATTCTGCGTGAAACCCTTCTAAGACTTTTGACTTGCTCTTCGAGCAAGTTCCGCGAGCTTCTCGTTATATCGTTTTACACATGAATTTTAATAATTTCCCAAATATTCGATTAAAGTCATCTATAATGAGTTGCACTCACGTATAATCTAAGAAAATTCATTCCCAAAGTTTAAAATGTTAATCACCTCGATATTTCGAGCGATTTTTTTTTCACACGATAAAATAATATATATATGTATGTGTGTAAACCGAATCAATTGTAAAGTTCTGCAAGAGCACACTCGTGCGTGAAAAAATTCCCCAAATCACTCGAGGCGAGGAAAGCCAGTGTATCTGTATGTGCTAGAGAAACTAAAGACCATTAAGACAGCGAAAGATCTTTTCTCGTATCGTATAACTGCAGCGTATCGAGCTGCGGTATCGCGCATTTATATCGGAATTTACGTTCGCATTTGCCTGACTGCTGGTGAAACCGAAAGTATTCCTCTGTCGATCGAGCTTAGAAATGAAAGTGTCGTATGATCACTCTGTAAATTGGTGAAATTCGTGAGTTTGATTGTTTCCTTCCTTTTTTATATGAATTTTCAATTATGTTGGATAATTATTGCTTAATAATAAGAAGAGAATTAAACGAGATTATTTTTATTATCGAATAATATATTTTTTCGCCTCGTTTCGAGTACTCTGACTCTGTTCTCGAATTTCTTGAGGATCATTCCGTGATATATTTATTTGCTAGATATGTTTTTCATTATTCTAACATTTTTTCTTTTCTCTTGGACAAGAATTGTGGGCGATGATTTTTTTTTTTCTTTCTAGAACGTAGACAGAATTGTGCGAAAATAATATATATAAATGGTGTAACAATTCTCTTCATAGAACGTCGATTTTTGGTTATTCAAATAATCAATTGATGATCTTTTTCGCAATAACAAACGTTTTTATATTTAAAAATTGTTCAATTTTTAATCTGAATTTGTTTCTCAATTAGTTCTAATGTATAAAAAAAGAACGTACAAGATTGTATAATAATTTTAACAAAAAAAAGAAAAAAAAGTTAGAAAAGAATAAATTTAATGAAATATTAGATATTTCGTTGTATTTTATTTCTAGGTCTAATTTTGTTCTACATTTGTTATACATGAATCATCATTTGAATATTTATAGTTGAATATCGTTTCCATTTTTTATTCAAGAATTGCTGGAATAAAAGATATTTCTCACATAATTTTATTCATCTAAAAGACCGATCTATCTTGTA